ATTTATAAATGTATGAATCATTTGGTGAAAAACTGATTTTGAAAAATAAATCTGTTCTTTTTTTCTTATAAAAGGCAAAATAAAATATAAATATTGGTGGTAATTTTGGACTGTGTAACTTTACAAACGGCACCCCGTATGAGGGGCCATTTAAACCCAGCAAACAACAAATAAAATGGATTAAACTGAATTAGAGCGTTTGGAAACAACCAGAGGACTTTTAATCCTAAATTCATCCAGGTTGAGCAGGTTTTGGTGATTGTTCTGTGTTTAGGCTGCGGGGCGTCAAATCACAGGACAGACAGGTGAAAAGGTGCCAATCAAACAGCTGGAGAGCGTCAGGAGCAGTAATTATCCAGCCTTTCAACAAACAGTTGCTTTAACTCGAAGCTGYGAACATACAGGCCGTGATGCGGTCTGCGCACATCTGTCCGAGCTCCGGTAAATAAAGCCGGGATGCATCTGCAGTTTCATTTCCTCCCAGTGACTTTTTTTTCCCTCTCGTTTAAACATCTGGAAATCATCCCTCCTCCCCGACGCTGCRTTCGCTGACTGTGCTGCTTTTATAAGTGGTTCTCATGGTGCAGTGCTCGCAGGCTGCGTTAGAACCATCAACCACCCCAGGTTTACAACCTAACCCCCCAAACAACCCCCCATCAGACAAATAATGCCTCCTTTAACCCTGGACGACTCTGCTGAGCCCGTCCTCCTGTAACTCGGGGAGAAAAGAGGCGTGTAATCAAGTCAGAGCTGAAAAATGCAGCATGTGTTCCTAATCTGCTGCGTCTGTGGACCTGCTCGCATTCACATGTTCGGAGCTTTTGGAAGAAAACAGCCCATTTGTTGCGATGTCAGTGATGTGGCAACAACAACTGGAAGCAATTTGGAGAACGGGGTGACCTCACGTTGATTTGTTCGTTTTGAAACGCCAGATTTTTTTTTTTTTGTCTTTTTGTGGGCGGGATCTGAAAGTGGAGCTGATTTGCATCTTTGTCTGAGATGAATATTAAAACGTTTGAGACGAGTCTCTTTAATGCAGGACATCTGGGAGTGTGAAAACACTCAGAAACAAAACTTTGTTTTTCTTTAACTTTATAAGTCCAGACGTCACAGAACCGTTTCTGTGTTCAGATACAGTTTTTAAACAAAACGGCTGGGATCTATTTTTATCCTGCTAATCTAATCCGGAGACACTATTTGAAGATTTAAATCTGCTCCTTGATGTTTTTATTCACAAGCAGCCGTACGACTCCACCCGCTGCACAAAATTAAATGYTTCAAATGGGTTTTTAGTTTTAAAAGCTGTCGTTTTATTGGATAAAACTCAATAGGCTTTGATACCACATGACTGGATTTTGACCATTTTCAGTCTTTATAACTGTTTAAAGTTTTTTTTAAAATCTTCTGCTTCACATTTAAGTTTTTTTTTATTTCTACAGGGACCCTCAGTGATGTAAACTGACGTGATTGGCTCAAACACAAATGCACAATGATTGGCTGAGCAAAGTGAGCACTCCTTCAGCACCTTACACAATAAAACTGCACTAAATTAGTTAACATACACGTTTCTTAATGTTCTCTTTAATCCAGTCTTATTTAAAGTTTTTACTCTTTAAGTTTTGTTTATAAGTTAACTCACAGACCAGCAGCTCCATCCCAGTGGAGCTCTCCACTGGTGCTGGTGAACGTCACATTCCGTACATACGTGACATGACTGAATAAAGCACCCGCTTTGGATGTTATCATCCATGAAATGGACCTTATTAGGYGTTATCAGTCCCATAGAATGGCTTCAGAAGGTCCYGCCTGTGCCGGTTAGCAGGTTCCCCGTCCCATAGAATGGCTTCTGATTGTCAGCTGGTTAATATGAGGCATAAAAAAACTGGTTAATATGAGGCTTAAAGCCACTAAAGTTAACTTCAGAGCAAATGACATGGTTAGCGCTAAAGATACTACCCTCCAACGGTTGTATTTGTGGCCTTTCAATAGGGCAATGGGTAGTGTCGGACCAGGGTTCAAGACCGACATAGACACAATTTTTTACAACATCTTTTGGTTATTTACACAYTCATTGTCATTGATATATTAACCCACTAGGGGGGCACTGTCGGGACAGTCTGAAGCCTAGAAGGCACAGTAGGGACCCTCTGAAACCATTGTATGGGACTGATAATGCCTAATAACGTCCATTTCATGGACTGATAACATCAGACCCCCCTGCATAAACCATCATCCAACTGTTGCACAATCACACAACAAAGGCTTACAGCTGCTCTTTAAATAAGGAGGTGGTAAGTTTGGAAAGCAAAGAGACAAACTGAAGAGTAAATTACAATCTTAAGAAACTCTGTAGAAACTGGACCACACTGAAGAATCTGTCCTTCTAACCCAGTCTATCAGCCGAAAACTCTTTCTGATCTTTGAGACTGATAAAAGTGCACAATGTGTTGGATTATTAATCAAACAGCAACAAAAAGTGCAAAATGGTGACGTTTCACTCAAGTTCTCTCAAATGTGCTTCGTTGTTGTGGGAAGAGTTGTGTTTTTTTTCCTTCAGCCGAAGTGTTTTTTGTCATACGTGAACACAAACAGTTGTAGTAAAAGTTAATCCTGCCTCCCCTCCTCCCCGCTGCACGTTCATCGTCCCCAAAGTGCCGATGAACCACATTTTCCTCTGGCCTACAAACCCCCACAAAACTTTCCACTGGATTTTATGGTTGATGTGCAATCCCTTCATCCACAGCCGTTCCATGGAAAAAAGCTGAAAGATGTTTTTTTTTCATTTAGAACTAAATCAGAACAGCTAAAATCAACAGTTTCATTAATTAAATCTCCTCCTATCAGCAGAAACTCAGACTTTTATTTAGTTAAGAACAAGCTTATGTTCTGTTTGTAGCATCAGTTCCACCCGCTCGCTTTGTATGTTATCCATGAAATGGACGTTATTAGGTGTTATCAGTCCCTTAGAATGGCTTCAGTGTCAGCTGAATATGAGGCATAAAAAACTGGTTAATATGAGGCTTAAAGCCACTAAGGTTAACTTTAGAGCAAATGACATGGTTAGCGCTAAAGACACCGCTGTCCAAATATCATGGTGTGGCCTTCCAATAGGGCAATGGGTAGTGTYGGACCAGGGTTCGAGACCGACACAAAAAATTTATTACAATATCTTTTGGTTATTTACACATTAATTGTCGTTGATGTATTAACCCACTAGGGGGCACTGTAGGTACAGTCTGAAACCTAGTAGGCACAGTAGGGACCCTCTGAAGCCATTGTATGGGACTGATAATGCCTAATAACTAGGATTGGGCAAAATTGGCAAAAAATTAATCATGATTAATTGTGGTATTTAGCCGATAACGATTAATTTGACGATTAATCCCCCTGGAGTCCCTGGACACCCTTATATCCTAGTCACATGACCAACTTATAGGGAGAAAATTGGCTCTTTGTAAAAATCTTTTCTAAATTGTGTCAAAATTACAGACTTCAGGCTATCCATCAAACTTTAAATTGTGTTGATAGACAAATAAATTACACAACTTTTTTTAATGTTGGTCATATTTGAATCAGAGAGGAGCACCAAGCGGTTAGTCTGCCTGGTGGCATTAATCATTTTAATCATCAAGTGCCAAAAATTAATYGATTAATGTTTTTCTGACGATTAATTGCACACGATACGATTATGCCCAACCCTATTAATAACGTCCATTTCATGGACTGATAACATCAGAATCCCGTCAGTTCAGTCTGGTCTTTAAAGGTCCACCAGGAGGCGCTCTAACTGGTCCCACAGCTTCACAATGTTCTCAAACACTCAACAAAAAGAGAAAACTTCATTTAAAAACACGATAAGAGGGAAAAAACACCTAAAACAACTTGTTGTTAGTTTTTCAACTATCGATCAGCTCGTGACGTCATCACAGCCGTCGTGACGACACCAAACATCAAGCTTAAAAAAAAACTCTCAGGTGTTTCCATCCTGGATCCAGCAGCCTCCTCACATCTGTCCTGAGTTATCATCTTCCCTCAGAGACAGATGTGCGACTCAGTCCAAACGCTTCTCCTTTTACCTGATGACCGCTCCAAAGTGCTGCCAAACCTCAGAGAGGTGCTGCTTTACCTCACTGACAGATGTTTCAGACCGTCCGCCGTAAAGTCGGCCTTTTAGACCCAACGGTTGACCATGTAAGGCTCGTCACATCCACGGCAGGGATGGAGCCGTCGTGTTCGAGGACACCCATCACAGATCTGACGTTCAGAACAGAAATCAGTCGTTAAAGCAAATCACTTACCGTTTGGCCCATCCTGACATGTCACAATCACAACCCGGGAGACCACCAGCAGGATAAAAGTCCTTAAACGCACAGAGAACATCATGTCTAAGAGACAGACATGAGCCGTTTCTGTGCAACGAGAACAAAAAGGGGGGAAAGGGATGGAAGAAAAAAGTGATCACAGCACCATGAATACAGGAGTGCCTCTCCTTGTAAGCAGCAGGCAGACCCAGCCCCGACTGCCTTTCTTTTTTTTTTCTTTATGTCTATGTGTGTGTGTGTTTGTGTGTGTGTGTGTGTAGTTACAGCTTCAACTGAGAAGAATGCTGGCAAGCCCAATTTTCCTCCCCCTTTTGTCCCACAGCCATCCCCTCACAGAACTACACCCATGTTCAGCAGATCTCAGGCTTTCCAACGGGACTCTCTGTGAACCGGGACCGGATCACATGAATCTGATTGTTGTTTTTTTTACAAACTGTTTCATGGTCGACATGATAAAACGTGCTGCGTTGGTGTGGTTTCTACAAGACGCAGCTGAGAATCAAGGGTTGTTCCTAAACTGGCTGCAGCTTCTCAACTTGGTTGAAAAACCTTCAAGTTCAACCTAGAGGCAGAAATGTTACAACAAGAGTTCAGAGTGCGTGTTGGGATGACTCTCAGCTACTACCACACACAACATCAACCCAGTATTTATAAAGGTGACAGGTTTTAACAGGGATTAACTGCAGCGACTCAGTCGCTGCAGTTAATCCCTGTTAAAACCTGTCACGGTTCGATTCGATTTAACCCTGAATCGATCATTTTGACCTCAACTGATTGTTTTTAACCTGCTGCTCCTTCCCTGTTAGCAGTGAGCGTGATGCCTGGTAGTGGTGTAAGAAAATATCGATACACTGAAATATCGCGATATTTCATTTCCCGATACTGTATCGATATTCTAAAGCCCTGTATCGATTTTTTTATTAAGGTTTAAAATGTCAACTTTCCTGCCAGCCGTTCATTTTTATGTTGTAGTTCAGCCTCTGACCACTAGTTGGCAGCAGTGAGCCAGCCATTTGGATCCTCTACCTCTTGAGGTAGAGGCCATTGTTAAAGTGTAACTTACCCCCCCTGTGAAAAGATAACTC